AAGCATTCAACTCGTGATTATCACAGAGCATTTCACAATAATTGTGTCCCATGATATTATTTTTTTAAATAACTTCTTTATTATGTAGTAATTTGTATTTCATTTAAGAAGATGTACATATTCGGATATTATGAAATAGAAATTAAAATATGCAGAAAATACTCACTTCCGAATGCACTGCATTCATGCAGTTGGAACTTTGCAATTGCCCTCGTGTGAGTGGTGAGCAATCGTTGCCTAATGCGTATTTAAACAAGACGCTGATTCCCTACTTGCTAAATGACTCCCTCTTCTTTCGATGTACCCCCTCCAGTCTTCACATTTCCTCCATCACATCTTTATCTCGTTCATCGTGTATTTCATACTAAATGCCAACTTGTAAAAGTACAAACGCACTTGTACAACTTTCTTCATTATCTCTTGGCAGCTTCACAAATATTGAAGTTGCTCCAGTCAGCTCTTTTCTCAATGAAGTCCATCTCTGACCTTGCGTCTTGCCTTCGGAAATCATTATCAACTTCAATTAATTTCGCATAGACAATTCAATTTAATGAAAACAACTCATGTCAAAGACCGCAACCACATGCTATAATACTCGTACTTCATCTGCATACTTGGATGCGTATATTGCTCTCAAACTTTTTATATGTCAGTTTGTTGAGAAGTGTAAATTTCAATAGCAATAATGCAATTGCGGAATGGAAAGTGTTCCAAAAATTGGAAACATATTGTTTTAAGCATGTTGTATATGTATGGAAAAGCCATAGAAATGTATAATTTCATGCTTTGTACGCTTTTTAATGTCAATATTGTTGTATTAAATGTAATATGTAGGTGGATGAATTCCGTCTCGATATTTTTCCTTCAATTCCTTTTGACTGAATAAATGTACTTGTTTTGTTTCTGGATAATTAATGTGAATCTCAATTATCACGCAAAATATAAATTATGTTATTGTTTTTTATGCATATGAATAAAATATTTATTCACAGAAATGTAAGTGATTGAAAAATGAATTCTCAGAATCTATGTTGATGTATTTGTATGAAGGAAATGTTGGAGCATTTTCTGTGTCTTCACACAAGCAAAAGGAAGAAAAACATTGGGGTTCGAAATGAAAATAAATGGCAAATTCCAATTAAACACTACGGAGTATTTTGTGGTAGGTTACAATGGGTGCATACGAAGAAGCGATGTAGTGCGCCAAGCGATGATAATGCGAAGGGGTTTTCAAATTTCCGTACTTATAGCAAATTTATTACAAATATTAAATATTTTCTCTAATCAATTACAATTAAATTGATTATCATTGATTCCGCTATCGGTCATATAACCTTAATGGACAAAAATACAAGATCCAATGATTTACGAAATTCATATCTTTTTAATACATGTAATGATTCTTACGGAAGCAACTGGTAGGACTGGGCTGGGATGGTTTTCTGGAAACCACGTGATGAAGAGAACTTGTGTAGCAATTGCCGACTTTCAGAACGTGTAGATTGATCATTGTGTATTGTACTGTTCATTCATATTTGGATGGAAACCTTTCAGTGATCAGTAAAGCAGCGAAATTTATTACTTTTCGCGGTCATATGTGTGATTGCGGCGGTTGCCAAGCCTCGTTACTCGGCAGGCTTCGGATTAGCGCTGGTTGCTTCCACAGAGCAGGAAGTATATAGTAGAATGACAACATTGGTTGACTGAATGAAGCAAGCATCATCCCCGACCAGACCGTTCTCACTTCTATCCGAAGATTATACTGACTTTACTCTGGCAAGTTGCAGCAGTTGCTTACAGGGATCTTCTCAACCAGGTCAATACGAAGCAACCATTTGTTTGAATTAGAGTTGCCAGAGGCAGCAATTTCCGAAAGAAAATCCTGAAACACGTGGCACGCATATCGCAATTTACAGCCGCATCTCACGCCCAGAGGATTATAAAAAATTGCTGAAATAATTCGTTTGAGTATTTTGGGCCCTGAGAATTGCATGGCATCGGAGCGTTGTGAATGCGTTTTACAGTGCAAAATTCACCGGTATTTAGTACTTCACAATGAAACGTGCACGAAATATTATCTAAATCTTCATTACGATTATTAATATTATTACTAATGTTAATTTTCTTACTCTCTTCAGATAGTTTTCTATAATCAAGCGCTGGGACAACTTCCGTTGTCAGACCTTTACACCATGGGACGCAGAGCAACTAAAGTTCCCCACGTTTGCTGTTGTGAGGCAAGGGAACTGGCCAGGGCATTTACACTGCAATTTTTCTTGCGCGAGCGAATTAGAGAGCAATTATAATTCTAGCGTAAAGCCAGAAGTAGTCTTCTGCAAGTAGTGCCGCTCGACAAGGAGCAAATGTCAGTGTGTTAATATTGGCAATGCTCACTCTCACTATCCACGGTGCCTAGCGGGCAGTGGAAATGGAACAGACTGTTATAGAGTAAACGCTGGCGTTGCCGAGATGAGGAAGTCCATGTTTGGCCTAATATTTTGAAGCTATTTTAGAATGACTTATTATCATTACTACCATTTATAATCATTCTTTTTAATCAATGCAAAATAATATCCAAATCATTTTTATAATTCTTAGTGTTCACATATATAATTGTCTATTCCGCTTATATAACTCCAATGTAAATGTTTTTTTACGTATTATATTATGATTTTTTTGCAATTAATACTTTTTTGGTATGTAGTATCTGGTTTCTCACCCTAAATCCCACATGCAGTTTGAATTACAATTTGGCACAATACAATGCTTTTAGTATCGAAAACCTCTATAGTATTACGTCAATTTTCTCAATCCTCAAAAACATTGCGAGACTGTTCAACTTATATAATAAATATCTTATCCTATACTGCATGGATGCCTGGGAATTATTTGGCATACATTTATAATGAAAACTGGAGTCTATTTGTATTATTTACATTTACTTATTTGTATTATTTAACAAATCAATGAGGGGGCTTAATAGTATGTAATTTCTGGATGATTAGGAATTGGTCCTTGTAATGTAGTGACAATAACCGATAGTGAAGTATTTGTTCAACTAAATGCACATTAATGGTGGAATTTGTATTAGTTTACGTTCGTTTCAAACGATTCAATAAACAACTTTGAAACATCCAAGTTTTGTGTATTACCGTATGTGACCCCACAACAAGTATCATTACATTTAAATGAAGAAATCGTCATGGAGAGAGAACGTCTCTTGTAAGAGCAAACAAATTGGTGAAGACTTGCTTATATAATTGATTCATTTCTTATTTTTCTGAATAATTTAGTTCTTTTAAAAACAAATAAAAATCATACTCCTAAATAAAATGAATATTTTTGTTTATATTGACATAAAATATTCAATTAATTTATTAGTACACTTAATAATTACCTTATAGTAAACTTTTATTTTAATAATCTTTTATAATTGTGGTATTATTTATCTTTTTGTTCTATATATATTTATCAAAAGTTGGAATACAGGATCCTTGAGTTGAAACCATGAAAAACTTTTAATACTATCAACTCAAAAGTATAATTAATACTCGCACACATTGATATATCTCATTTAGCATCGTTTATGTACACCTATTTAATAATTATGATTACAGAATAAAATCTTGTAATATGAAAGAAAAAATAGGCACATTATTCTATTGTGAATAGTCTCTCCACTACACGAAGTATCCGCGTGAGGAGTGAGTGACAAGAAAGAAAACAAAAACGAGAAAGTTATCGCAATAATAATTTTATAACTTGGCTAATCGGACAGGAGTCACTTTAAGCAGACATTCCAGTCCACCCTTTGGGAGCTAGGGAGGTGTCATTCCATAAATGTTGGAGTGCTGGTGGGAATTACGATTATTATTACACTTCTAATTTCATTTTAAAAACTTAAAATTCTTTAAAACTATTTAAACCATCGGAGGCAGCACATAAAGCTAGTGTATATTGAAAGTAGTTTCTATTAAATTTTGTGGCGCGCGTTTCTTGTTCTTTCGAGTGAATAGCTGATGTTTTGAGCAGGGTCTTCGTGACAGAACAGGCCAGCCGATCCATGATCTAACGTGTCAGCCTGATCTTGCAAGCAGGCGGAACGCATTAATCGCTCGCACGAGGGGACGGGGCGGGCAGTGTAGGAGGCGCGTGCGCGGGGGCGGGGGAGGGGGCTGGGGGAGTTAACTGCTCGCTGACGCCGCTGCTGACCACGCTGCACACGCGCGCTATCGCCTCCGGCCGCCCCCGGGTCGACCCCCCACCCCTCACCCAGCCATCCGGGCACCCACTGCGGCGCTTTCGCTCCGAAAAACTTCGCACGCTCCAGCTTAGAACAGCCCACCTTCTTTCTCGGACCGGCAAAGGTGGCGAAAGGCATCAAATGATGTCACTGCAGCGTCTCCGACTGGGATGTCCTGGGATTCACGTTCCCTGTGACAGGGTGTTCCACACCAGCTGGATCGGATTCAACCCCTGTCTGGAGGTGAAATCTATAGGTCAACTACTCCGAGTAGTGCCCTAACAAACGGGATCGAATTTTTCCTTTTCCGTCCTCCTTACCTTCCTCACATACTTACACTTAGATACACTACATGATCACACACATCGGGAGAGCAGTGGAGAGCCTAGAGCTTTTCCTGTCTGAAGCGATCCCCCGCTGGTGGAGATTCCTGTAGAGGAGACAACCTACAAACCGACGTGCAGGATGGTGCCGGATGTCACTTTCCAACGGGAGAGGAACACTCTCACAGCTTGTATTATAACATACACGACACTTACGGGACTAATACCCTCATCCCCCCCCAGAATGAATTCTCTTTCACTCAATCAAGCTTATCTCCCGATGGATCGAGAGTAGTTAATTCACACCCTGAAGACAACTTGCCCCCAAGATATTTTCCAACTTTCGAGGCACTCAAGTGCGGAAGCAAGTACAATAGGGGTTTGGAGAAAATTCTTATTTCAAAACAATGTTTACAGTATTGAAACTAAATGACATTAATTTTATTGCTTGCTGTTACGATGTCTTTGAGAAAATCTTTGAGAAATATGTGATACTTATTGCTGAGTATTTACCACACAACTCTGATCTTTGTCTCTAGAATTCCAATGAAGACAGTTGTTATACTGCTCTGTATCGCAAATGCACCAGTGTGCGTATACATCTTTTCACTCACTTCTTGATACCAATGATAAAGTAAGCAAATTCAATACTTATAAAGAAAAAGAAGAACAAATAATATCTTTTCGAATATTGTTAATTACCTGAGAGCGGAAAAGTAGACAAGAACTGCGTAGGTTCTTGGAGCGAGTAAGTTCTCTTCAAACGTCTACATTAAAGATATAACATTGTAAAGTAACTTATTTCTTTACTTTTCATACGACGCTTCTATTTTATATGAAGTGTAATTATCTACTTCCCGCACTTTACTGGGGCTCTAATAAAAGAAATAATGGGAAATGTTTTCATCGAAGTTCATCAAACATTTAATTGCCTTTACTTTGTTCTTGAAAATAAATTTCCCTATTAAATAGCCCCTGCATATGAACTTGTAATGAGTGTAATGAATATTAATGCGATGATCTACTTTCGTACAAAGATAACATATTTTAATTCTGATGTACTTTTCTGTATTGCTTGTTATTAATTTTTAAAAATCATTGCTAAACATTGAGGCGCCTCATGGTGTTGTTAGCCTGCCCGCATTCGGACCATTCTCATCCGAACCAATAGAATTGATGAACAAAAAGTGTTTGCGAAATATTTTTACGAGGTTAGTTTAGGTTCGATCCTTTCATTTCAGCTTTGCTCAATCATTATTTATACGTACTTATCACCCAAAGATCATCTTTTATTATTGCCATATCACTAACCTCATCTCCCGCGAAAGGTGATAAAGACCTAGGCAAATAGGTATCTGCTAGGCAAATAGGTTTATGTTTTTGTAAAGTTATAGTAGATGTAGTGATATAAAAGTGTAAAGAGGTAAAAAAATATGAATTTAGAGAAAATACTCTGCCACAGATTTCATGACAGCAAAATAATACTTTCATATTCATATTGGCGGTGTACACTGTAAAGTATAAAAACATGGGGATGTGATTTGGAAATTTACGAAATGAATCGTTTCTGATTTTATCTTGGATAAGAGTGATTCTAATAACATTCATTTTCGTGGTTTTGCGAAGGTATCTTGGTGAAATGAACATATAAAACTTGAGAATAATTGTTATTTAATATAATTTCTTTTCAGATTTTAAATATTTGTATGTAGAATGTAGCACTCATTAATTAAACATGGAAAACGTGTATAGTTATTACCTACAAATAGATTAAGACTAAGAAAATTTTTACATCATTCATGATTGTAAATTTATTGTTCTTCTTTTGTTTCAGGTGAGTGACTGAACAGTGGAACTATTCTTATAGGGGCGTTTCCTAAAAGTGAGTTATGTTATTTTCGCTCTGAATTTAAATTACTGAACTAATTAATTGAATTACATTTTCCCACAAGACCATGAACATTTTCTTTCAAACTACAAAATGCGAAATATGTTACTCATTTATGAAATAGTTACTAAACTAATTATTTCTCCCAATAAGTTCTTTATACATTTAGCGTTTTCCCTTGATTGTCATTATTTTTCGAAACAAATATCCAGATCTTATTATAATAAAAAACACACATTAAAAAAAGCTAATTTTCTAAGTGTAGGCAATCTAGAGCTCCGTATCTGGGATTCTGAGGCCTGGTTCCAGGGCGGGATATTCAATTTAGCTTTAAGACTAGAAAGAGATGCGCTGAGTTTCGCGTGTAAAAACTGAGAAGCCGCCATCAAGAGGCTACATCAGCGATCACGAAAACTGAGACCGTCGGCTAAGGGGAGGCGACACCCCGTGTCAATCATAAAATTCCTTTAAAACTTTATCAACGAGTCCTAACGAATTGTTACGCTTATGATGCTGATAATTACTTTTTACCATATATTTTTCAATTAAATTGCAGTGAAAAGTATTTTGTAATAAAATAAAAATGCTGATTGAATTTCGAAACAGAAAGAGATATATAAATATCATTTAGAAGTAAACAGATGTTTTTTTCTCGAAATTGTCGTATACTCAACCATTTCATTGACAAAATAAAATAATATAATTGTATATTACCGTGATCACATTTTTATGATTAAGTCACCAATAAAAGAAAAAAAGCTGTTAGATCTTAAAACTCAGGTTATGGAAAAGTTTAGAGTTCGAACATACTAATATTTCACTGTATAAAAATCATGTTAGCAAACTTAAAAATGTAAGATATTCTTATATTTATGCGATTTCAGATTATATGAAACTAATAAATTGGAAGAGGAAATACACTTAATACAAAATAAATATCACAATTCAAATGAGTGTATTTTAACGTTCTATTACACTAAGTGTCAAGAAAAGAAAATCAACTTAAGCTCGCATATGGAATTTTTTAACATAACTGTTTAATAGTTCACAACCAAAGAGTGTCACTTGTCTCGTTCAGATCGTTCCGGACGCTTCCTGGTCCCTGAGAGGTGAACAGGCGGAGTGGAACCAGCGGTGTGGGGTCCTCCTCAGACGGGGTAATCGCAGGTGCCTCGGGTGTAGCACACGAACTGTGGCCCGCATTTGGCGTTGGTGGGATACGGGAACTTGCAACGCTCTTTCCTCTCTGCAAAGAATGCAGAAAATTAAAGACTTGTGTTATTTTTGTCGTCACATTTTGTTCAAGAATTAGGGTCTAATAATAATTTCACCGGACATTTGAAATACGTATTCAGTTATTAACGTTACGTGTGGATTGTTTCTAATGGTATCCTTATTACATAGCTTCAACAATACCCCTGCAGGGACACAGACGTTGCTTCTGAAGACGAAGTGTTTACTCAGATCTCAAGACAATATAAACTGAAAATTTCTTAAGTCATCATCCGATAAGTGCCATCAATTTTTATTTTTTGACAGTAATGTTTTCTGCGTTTGTTGATGATATATTTAGGATATCTGGCTCCGGGACTCCATTATATACAACAGAAAAGGTTTGATCATTAATCAAAATTCTGTTTACATGAAAGCGACATATCAGGAGACGGTTCATATACTTGTATAACTTTTTTAGATTTTTTAGATTTGTATACCTGTAGCAGACGTGCTGCGGAAAATATCTACATATTCTACCGTCGCGTGAACAGCACGATACGTTTATCTCTGCTATGGAAATCAGAAACAGAAGCCAAGCAACCGTGACCGGTCACTATGTTAAGAGCATCGAATAAAATGTGTATATACTTTTCTCTCATAAATCACTTTCATATTTTTCTATTTCTGGACGTTAAATAATGTAAATAAACTGACGTGGGCTTGAGGAGACGACCGGAAATGCATCTAATGTGCGAATTACAGATTCAGTAAACGAAGTCATTGTTAACGAAACATTTCCTCCGCCCAAAGTACACCGAAAATCAGAATGTGAAATTGGAATTTAAATTCCAAACCTTGGAGCCAGCCCAAGCAGCACTCACCCAAGTAGACGAGGCACGCCTGGCACCTCCCGCACTGCGTGAGCCTCCCGCTGTGGCACTGGCTGACGTCGACTTCCGGGCAGGGCATCCCCTCGTTCTGCAGGCCGCCATTATCTTCGCCGCTGCCGCTGCTGCTACTACTGCTGCTGCTACTGCTGCTGCTGCTACTGCTGCTGCTGCTGCTACTGCTGCTGCTGCTGCTGTCTGGATCGCCGGGGTATACGTTGCAGTTCTTGATGTCGTTGGGTGGAGCCCTTCGCGGGGACGAGCGGCGCGCGGCGGCGCACAGCCCAACCACCAGCGCCAGCAGCGCCAGGGCGACCAGCGGACGCATCTGCCCCCAACAGCGCAGATTAGAGCGGATTAGTCACCCTGGCCTATCAGAACTGCCGTTTCCTCAAATTTCTGGTTTGAAATGTGACTTCGCGAGTGAGACCGTAAGCTTCCGCGGCTGGAGTCTGTGGATATTTGGCTGTCCGGGAGGTGCCGCGTCCTAGGCACAGGTGCCAACGTTTCGGCCGCCATTATGCGACCTTTCTCAGGGCAAAATGTCACATTTAACTTTGCTTTTCGCCTTGAGGAAGGTCGATGAATGGCGGCCGAAACTTGGGCACCTGTGCCTGGCAGGCGGTGTCTTTTGGTCGAGTAGCTACTAACAACGCGACTTCTCAATTTTGTATTCAATACAATACTCCTAAACGTTATAAATTGTAAATCCTACAGCTGAAATTTCTGCATGTGAACGCGTCTTTGTGAAAAATAAAATAATTTGTTGCAACTTTTTTGTATGACATTGATTGCGTCTGAATAAATTCATAAATATTATAAATAATGTTGAAGTTAGGTTTTTCATAACTTTAAAAGAGATATGACGTTTGACCAACATTGTTGATGTTTTCATTATTTTTTTGGCATTAATCTGTGACTTCCTCAGCCAGGCAAAGAATTTTATTGAAAATGAATATTTTTCCTGTTTGAAAGCATCTTTCATTCTAAAATGATCGAAGATCCAGGCAGATTTTTAAGTACACGCTATGAATCCGGCTCTAAACTGAGCTACAAGGTTATTTGAGTACTAGCCAAGCTATACTGTTTATTTATTTTTCATATTCGTGGAATTAACTCGTGTATTTTATACTATATGAGACTTCATCTAAATTTACTAAATGAAAACGTGGGAATATATATAGGAAAACGGAGAAATTTGAACAACAATTTTTAATGAGATTTTGAAGGAAATATGGAGTTTGAATTATCGTTGCGTTTTAACAGTCGCGGGGTTGCCATTCTACCCGAACATAGATAGTCACATCTTTTTTTTTTGAAGAGCTAGTTCAAATTCCAATTTGTAGCTTCCAATAAATAACAGTTTTCTACGAATGAAGATACTAAAATGAAATTCTAACGTAATTATGGGCAGAACTGGCTATAAGAGAATGCTGAAGTTTCCACAAAGCTGTTACGGGAATGGATTCGCGCATGGTGATGAAATTGAAGTTTGTGTAAACGTTTTCGAAGCACTGAAAGACGAAAGTCTCATTTAGGGTTAAGGTAGGTTCTAATAATAAATGTCCTAAAAGGTGAAACAGTAAATTTTTACATAACAACAGGTACAGAAGAAAAACTACGCTAAGGTCTTGTTGCCCCCCCCCCTTCCCGTCTTCCACATACGTGATACGCTAACACTACTCCATTTGAACTTAGAGATTACGCATGTATGTGTACTGGCTTTAGTTTACTCATGGTCGCCTTCACTTACTATCACTTTTTAAGAAGTATCTTATCTGGCTGAAAAATTGAGAAGGTATGAGAACGATTCCGTTTTGTGTGAATTCATTTTACCTTGTTCATTTGAACTTTTCAGTGCAGTATGATGTTTTTTAATTGAACAGTGTGCAAATGAAATATGTGTACTGACATTAACACTGATATATTATTAAGTGATCTATCAATAAATTGCCTTAAACAGCGTACAATATCTTTTTGAAGCATTTTTAAACGAAACATTGATATATTTATTGCATACGTGGGCAATAAAATGCTTCCCAACACAAAATCCATTAATCTCAATGACATGCAATATCATTCGTTGCCGTAGCAACAATGTTCCTTTCTTTAACATTACAAACTTTTATCCTCGCCCCCATAACTGAAAAAAATTCAAAATTAAATAACTTCAAATAAAATGTTATAGAATATTATATAGACAGATCTTCCCCATTAGCGTGGATTAATTATCTTTCCTGTAATTAATACATTGAAGACAATGTGTTTTATCAATAAACACGACCATTTGTTTTGACATTTTCTCGGTTTTCCTGTCATTTTATAGTAGGAGTAATGTGCGCAGTCGTAGTTCTTCGGAAACATCTCTAAAACGGCAAGGATTCTTGAATGAATCAAACGCTTTTCAAAAGCCATACAATTTTCTACTAAATACTTTTTTAATAAATTTCGATATCACAATTAAGCTCTAAGCAATTGAAGGCCGAAATTGAAAATTATCAGGACGGAGATCACAGGAGCGGACGGGGTGAATTGGACCCCATTGGACGGAGTACAGCGGAGCGGGGTGGTGCGAAATGGGATGGAGTGTTGAGGGAACAGGGCGGGGTAGAACGGAGCGGAATGGAGCGTGTCGGGGTGGACGACATGGGATGAAGTGATGGGAAGCGAGGCGGGGTTAAGCGTAACATGGTGGGAGCGGGGCGGGGCAGGGTGGAAAGTGGTAATGGGCAGGGTAAGTTGGAATGGGGTGGTGCATTGCGAGGATATAAATACAAATTATTCTATTTTACACTATAAATAGGATTCATTATTTTTCCTGACTAACAGATAATTATCACAAGTAAGTCTCCGAGCAACGTCAGGTGACATCCTCTGAACTTCAATCAGTATATTCACATTTTGTACCTGGATTTATCATTAACATTATATGATATGAATTGGGTATTAAAAATGCTACTAAAACAAAACAATTATTACAATTTGAGAAACCAATTTGATGTTCATTCATTTGTGATGATCTGTATCCTCATGTAATGTTAACCAAATTTAATTTGCGTTAACCTTGAGCGCCGTTTCTCATTTCAAGTTGTTGAGCTTTCTCTTGATTTTTATTAGCCACTTAAACGTAATTGAAATCATTGAGAATACAATGGATTTATTCCGCAGAACACTGAGAGAAAAAGGAAAAGTGAAGATTGAAGCAACTAAGGTGGATACAAAGAACTGATTTTTATTTCCACAGCTACTGAAGTTTACGCGGTGGACTCCAGCAGTTATTGAAAGTATCGTCATTTGATTTTTGTTTGATCTACCAATTTGCAACAATGCCTTCCTCATACGTAAACAAATTAAAGAGTTTTCAGAACAAATATAATAAAAATGAAGTTTTATACGTCTATTTGGAATAAAACACAAATAAAACTACCGGGAGGTGTGGCTTAGGACATACATTGATATCACTGATAAGAAAGTTCTAGGGTTTGAGTACCGACAGTGGCAGGATTATCGACACCTGCTAGATATCTAGGTCGAATGCAGCCGCGCGCTGTTTGAAAGAGAATTCTAGCTGCCGGCTCCTCTGATCGGTAGTTATGTCCGATCAACACCAGGCGAATGCTGGAGCAGTACCCTAACTAACGGACCACGATTTCCCCTTCCTTCTCCTATCTTCACCTCTTACGTACAACTTTACGTGCACTACACAAACACACATGCCGGAAGGCAGGTCGGGAGTTTAGAAATTGTCCCGACTGGGGCGGTGCCCCGCGGGTGGGAGATACCTGGTTGGAGAAAACCCTGCCAGCCGACAAGTAGGTCGGCGACAGATTTCGCCATCCAGGGGAGGAAAACACGTGCTACACTCGACGCGCCCGGAATCAGCAATCAGTCAAGCTAATTAAACTGAATTCCCACGAGTTACTAAATGACATGCGTCGTGGATTATCGCAACGTATTGAAATGACGTTTCAAAACCTACGTTACATCCTACGTTTCAAAACCTACGTTAATCCTTCGTTTCAAAACCTACGTTACATCCTACGTTTCAAAACCTACGTTAATCCTTCGTTTCAAAACCTACGTTACATCCTACGTTTCAAAACCTACGTTGCATCTGAAGCAGCGATCGATGGTGTGGGAGGAGAAGCAGCTCACCTCGGGCGGAGCGGAGGAGGAGCTTGGCGAGCGGCGAGCGGCGGGCGAGAAGCGGCCGGGCGAGTTGTGTCGCCCAGGAACGGCGCGCGGGCGCTTTTCAAGGCGCGATCGCTGCCGCGTGTCGCCGAAGCCGGGAGGGAGGGCGGAGGGCCCTGCGTTCGCGATACGGCGGGGCGCGCGCGGCGAGGCTCTGCGATAGAGAAACCGCGAGGCGATGCGTTGGTGGGGGACAGGGTTCCCCCCGTCGAGGCGAGGCGCTTCGTTGCACTGGGTGGCGTGCGTCACACAATGGGACTGGAAGACCTTGCGGGGAGAATAGCTCGTGGTATAGAATTCTAACTGGACCTTCGCAAACATTGCGCACTTGGTTGATAATGGTTTTAAAAACTTAAAACTTTTAAAATTTAAAAACAGGTTTATATTGGATTCCGACTTCGAATGCATCTACGGAATGGGGGAGAATCTTCGAAAAAATCTAGTAGAACGTTCAATGAGACTTATTTTGTAGATGATAACAAACGACGTGTTCCTTCATGGACATGGAAAACTGGCTTCGAGTGCCCAGGGTGACATCGTTTATGTCTTATGTTAGATGGTAGTGTGTTGAAGGGTCACGTGTGTTAGAGGTGGGAAGTGAGCTTCGAACGAAAATCGGCAAAATTCTACTATTTTCGTTTTAAATTTTTTAATGCAAGCTTGAGATGTTATTTTCTATCCAGAAGTAGCACAATTACTGGATTTTGTGTTGATGATTTCTTATAAATGTTTCAAAACCATTATATTTTCCTTGAGAATATATAGAGAGGATATTTACAAGGTTAATAGTCCACGAGAAAACATAAAAAAGAGGAAACAAAAACCAATCCTACGTAAGAAGACACAGTAAATGTATTGTCTTACTGTTAAATATCTATCAATGTCTGAGGTGTGTTATATTAAGTAGAAAGTCCATTTAAAAGCACACAATTCTTAATTTTACTAAATGGAAATCAAAACACGTAAAACATTTTACTAAAGCGTATAATTTAACAAGGGGTATTAAAACTAACTGAAATAATTAACACTAAGAATACAATGTAAAAACCCGTTTCGACTTACAATTTTTGAGGTCTTCATCTGTAAACAGAAACATAAATCATTATACTTTTGCATTTATAGTGAGTTTACTGAGTCTTACTGAGCTGTGTGGTCTGATCATAACTAATTATTAAAATATTGTTCTTCAGTCTGCGCAGATAAATGACCATTCGTGTGAAACAAAATTATTGAATGTGGTTATGTCTCCAAATTGGCTTATTAAGAAATTAGGGAGAGAAATCTAATCAGTTGCAATAAATATGGGAACATTGCCTGTTAACATCAAACTTTACTGAATGTAGAAGTTCATCAAAATAAATGCTTCCAAGTACTACAAAAATGTGCCTGAAATTTAATATAGTTGAATTATCTAAATTGTAAACAAAAGTTTAAACACAGACTATCTACATTTAAAGCAAAAATTAAAAAAAAAACACAATTAGCGGGAACAATGTCAAAAGAGAGAGAAATCTCCTACTTGCATCGAGTTGCAGGGTCAGCTTTGGTCAGGATTGCACAGGAATAGCTGTTGGGAATAGGTAAACAAAGCAGGGGATTGTGGGTATGAGAGCAACATGTAGAGGAAAAGAGATAAAATCAGACTAATTACTTCTAATTATCTTATAAATTGATCATATCCGATTACGTTTTCAACACATTGGAATGTATATACGATTAGTTTTCCAGAAATCCGACGTTTATTGAAAATGGGATCATTGTCTAAAATTATGATGTCGCCCGAGTTCATGTCATGATCAGTATGTTGAAATGACGTTACGTTGAAACAACGTTACGTTTGTGATCATCCAGAGGAAAATTTCTCCTGCGCACTCATGTCCTTAATTTGAGAGGAGTTTCTGATGCCTATATTGTAAATGGTATTATCAAACGCAATGAGAAATACGTCGTATTAATTTGTATAGACTTTTCAAGAATTTTTTACTGGATGAAATACTTGTTTCGAAATGACCCTCTTGTCCTCTTTGAGACGCACGCGAGGGTGGTGTGACGAGTTTGGTCCGTGAGAGCTGAAGAGGCTGCGAGGCCCGAGATGAGGGCGTGGAGCGAGCCCGAGGGCGAGGCACCTAAGTACGCAGAGTTTCGTTCCTTCGCCCCGGGAGAGAGGCCAAGCAATGCCTATGAATGATAGAGAGAGAGAGAGAGAGAGAGAGAGAGAGAGAGAGAGAGAGA